TGAAAAGTATGCAAACTTGCCGCAGGTTTAATTGCCCAGGTCCTAGGAAGCTATTTATTGAGGGGATCTTACGGAATTATGGCCGGCGTGATTGCAACGTTTTCCATGGTTTCGAAGCCGCTCAAATCCTTGCCGCGTTGCATCTGGATTCCGGAGAACGTCACCACCGTAAGCGCGAAGTATTTACCATAAAGTAGCCGTTCAGGCCCCAGTCGGCACCCCATGAGTTGCGCCCCAGCCAGTAGTCGACGCCCGCCGGAGTGGTGCCTGAGTTGAATTCGACGTCGGCGTCGAGTGTTCGCTTTCTAATTTTCTTTCGAAACCGTGCCTCACCGTAGCCAACAATCACCACCGCATGCTTGCCCCGATTATCGCGCGACGTCTCCTTACAGTTGGTGGTCAACACACGCCCCGTGTAATACCAAAAGTCGTTACAGACTTCGAAGCCTAAAATGCGGAATTTTAGCGTGACGCTGGCCTTGGTGTGCATGAAGTCAGGTCGTATCCAACTTACACGCGACCACCGGGCCAACATTTTTCACGTGGTTCATGATGTCCTTCACCCTGCCGGACAGGTTAATCACGCTCGCCACCGGATATTCGGGTGACTGTAAATGGTATTTATGAATTTGGAGACTACAGTGGTACGGTAAGCCTCGACAGTGGTGCTACCTTTCTCGTGCAAGTCGGGTTCCTCATTTCCCGATAGGCCAATGTTTCGTGCCGGACGATCCCGTTGGTGCGGATGTATCTTTAAGGTACGATTTGGGTGGCCTAATTACGGTGCTCTCCCAAGTTGGTATTACGAAATGCACCCAATAAAATGTAAGGTGCGTAATCTAAGGGATATCTCCCTTGAAATAAGTCATTTGCGAAAAAATCGTCTAAAATTACGATAGAGCCTGGGTGGGCCATCCTCCATTACAAGCACGCCCACTGCAATCCATCAGGTACTAAAATAAATCAACATTTTATGAAATGCAAATGTTTTCGTGTGACCTGTTCTGCGTAGTTGCGACGATTTGCGCCGGTTCGGTTGTTGGCTCGGTTGGAGGCGCCCTCAAGTGCCGCGACAGCCCTAAAATATACAAGTAAAATTGCTGCGCATATTTGTACTGTCAAAAACCATAAGGGATCCTTTTTGTTAAATTTAATTAAATTACCAAAGTAAAGCCCTTTTGGGAGGGGCCTTTTATTTTTGGCAAATTGCCAGCGGTCGCTGCGGGACGCGAGCCCTCGCACTTCGACTTTTGCGCGAAACTATTTGTGGCCGATTTCTTTGTGAAAACACTATAATTCGCAAATTCTTCATTTTTAATATCCTCACTCAGTCTTAAATAGTTTTGGTGCTTTAATCGTCTTATTTGGCAAAAAGTTCGCCGAAAGCCTGATCTGGGGTGACGACGCGCTCCCCGCCCTCTAGGCTGTGAAAGGCCTCCGACGTACAGGGCTCCAATTTGCTAGCCGCTACTCAATTTTTGGCAGTTCGGCGCCCCCCTAATAGTACAAAACGCGGCAAGACGGAACGTGTCGCGTGTTGGGCGATCCAAACTTACGCAAAGGCCCAGCACGATCCGCAATCGCCTTGGACGCGGATAGCCGACAGCACGCCCGTCGACCGCAGGTCCACATTGCCGTTGTTTTGTTGCGGGGTGGTGGTCGTGCCCGATTTCTTGGTTGTCGTGTCCTCGTCAATAACAGGCCACCCGCCGTTATCTTCGTCGATGACCGGCCACCCTTCGTTCTCCACCTCGTCGCCGGGCATCACGATGTTAAAGGCGTCACGCCGGGCCTAGAACTTTATTGCTACCGATCATTTCTAAAACTGAATATTCAGGTTAGGGAAACCTGCTGCCCTTAGAAATAGCCATTACTGCGATCGAATTCTTTATTCAGTCAAATGCCCTGGGACCCACTCTGTTGGCCGACATGCCCGCCGGCTTCGAGTCGAGCTTCATCACCATCTAAAAAAGCGGGAGCATGACCAAAATTATAGCGTCGAAATGGATAATGTCGACATTACAAAAAATCAAAATTTTATGCCGCCTAAGGTCGACATTTTTCCGATTTTTCGAAAAATTTGTTTGAGAAACGTCGACGTCTGGAAAAATGGGGGCTGTAAAATTTTGGAAGAAACTCTTTAGGAACACCGTTCAAGTGCATTAAACATCAGTATTTTCTGGATTACCTGGATCTCAAATGTAATTCGGTATAAAAGCTTACGTCGCGCTATATCAGAAATTATTTAGGACCAAACAAACCCTCGACTTCTCCTCGTCCGACATATCCGAGAAACGGTTCACCCCGTATTCGGCGCTAAAAATCATGGTTTCAATCAAAGGGAGGCCTCGACCCACCCGCCATTCGAGTTGGCATTCCACTCCTTGATCCTTTTCAGATGGGTCTTGAAGTTGCGCTTGCGCTTCTTGCAGTTCTCACTCCCGTCCGTGCAGCTTTTTCCGTACCTGTACGATATATTTGTCGCGGCTGAGGAGTTTCCAACCTGTACTTGAACTTCTTGAACTCGTTCCCTTCCTCGGAATCCAGGATCTGGTCGATGTCATCCTAAAATTGAGTGAATGAGCAGGAGCTTGTAAGCGCTTTTGACAATCAGATCGCATGATTTCCAAAATCCTCCAAAATCGTACTTTAAAGTTTAAATGCGAATATACCCTGAAATTCTCTAAAAATGTCTCAAAAACGTACGGTGGCCTCGACCGCGAAAGCCCAAAACGCCAGCACAAGACAGGCAGCGAGAAGAACCCACTTCATGGCTTCCCTAAAAATGTAGAATGGTGAATTGCCTATATCAATTCAAGCGGAATTAAATCGGTGGTGAGTTTTGGCCACCAAACTGCGCTTTTATACCAAGCAGAACAATGCTTTGATCGCTCGGTCCCAACGAATTCCGATGAAATTCCCTGGGATTAGTGGATTAGCCGTAGTGCCGGTTCAGCTTTTCAATAGACAGGATGCAAAAACCGAATCTGTTGGAATTACCGTCCCGAGAGAGCATTGTACAACTTTTAGCTTTACGGTTTGATAAAGCTACCCGATATTCAATTTATTCAAATGTACTTTAGACGGTCGGTTTAGGTGGAACTGTCCGAGTCGAAACTTATGCATTTTTTCCTACTAGAGGTTTTCACTTTTCTCTTCTTCGGTGTGTTGGTGTTTCGCTTCTTGTCATTAATTGGTGATATTCACTAGTAGCATCTCACTTTATCAAGCTTATAAACTCAAAATTCAAGATATAATGCAAGCACTTTTGGCGGCGGTCAACGCCGTGCATCCCCAGCCTTCGATGTCGCACATGTTGGCGCCACGCTTCATCTAAAAAAATATTTTTTTTATAGACTACGCATATCGAATTAGCTATAAAGTAAGTATCTGCCAATTTGCCTGAAAAATTCATGCCTGGAAATAGCCCTGCAGACCCCAGTTGACGCCCCACGAGTTGCGGACAAGCCAGTAGGGTACAGCGGCGCTGTCGGTACCTAAATTAGAATTTGAAGCTAGAGAGAGAGAGAGAGAGAGAGAGAGAGAGAGAGAGAGAGAGAGAGAGAGAGAGCGAGAGACAGTTAGTGAAAAGAGCGATAGAGAGGGCGAGATCGAGAGCGAGAGAGCCGCAGAAACCATACCGTAACCAACGATCACCACAGCATGTCCTCCCAGATAGTCCGTATCTGTCTTCAAACAAACATTGTGGTAGGTACCGTTTACGTAATGGTAGAAGTCACTGCAGACGAAGATGGCTAATAAATGACTATAGCTATTACCTTAGCTGCTTAAAACCTCGTTTCCGATAAAGGCCCAAATCCCTCACCTGCTGTTACTGGTCCACCTTTTTTCAGGTGGTTTTCGATACCAGGAATATTGTTAGTCAAATCAACGACGGTAGCGGCAGACTTGTCAACGGTCTAGACACACAAAAATATAAGAATCTTGCGCGCTGTACTTCAGGGCTTCTGCACGTGCACTTCCGTTTTGTCGGACGTAGCTGAAAGTATGGGCATGAGAGAGAGACAGAGAGAAAGAGAGAGAGAGGCTGATAGATGGAAGAACGCGTAGAACTAATTTACTTGAGCACAGTAGCCGGCCAACCACCTGAGCATGAGCTGCCGGAGCAGTCCAAAAGCCACTAAAACCGATTTACTTTTATTTGTCTTCTTCCTCACCTGTTCCGAGTAATTCCTCCGGTTCTGAGTCAGTCGATTGATCCAAAAGCGCCGCAGGCCGAAGAAAAGGTCCTTGTCCCAGGCTCTCGCTCCGCAGCCCAATGAAGAGTCCTTGATCTAGGCTCTTGCGCGGCAGGCCAAATCCGGGAGAACAACCAGTAACTAGCGCCGCAGGCATAAAGATTCTAGCGCGAGGTTTAGGCCCGGCTCTGGCTCTAGCGCCGCAGGCCAAAGAATGGTTTCTTGACCAAGGTATTTGCTCCACAAGCTAAGAAAGAAGGTATTCAGGTTCATGGTTCCTGGACGGGATCCAGTCGAAAAAGGCCGCGAAGCGGTCTTTTTTCACTGGTCACAGAATGGACTAGAATTTTCAGCTACCCGTGCATTGACGATTCTTGGCTGGCCAGTCAAATTTCGTTGGGCTGACGCGTTAACTAGCTGGGTCTGTATGAAAAGCTATTGAAGGCTAACGGAATGAGTCGCAGAGAGAGAGAGAGAGAGAGAGAGAGAGAGAGAGAGACCGTGTTCGCATCGACATCTCTGTGCTTCAGTTTGTGAACGTGGAACTAGAGTTTCCTTTCAATTCAACTCCATTTCACGAAGCGCTTTATCCATTTTTGACAAAAATTGGTGGATACGGTAGCTTATCCATCACATGGCGTGAGTGTGTGGGTCGGTGTTGCCCCACGACTCGAAGCTGGACGGGTCGGTGCCGCGTTTCATCTGAAATTTTTTGAATTAAAGGTGGATGAGAGAGAGCGAGGTGTAGAGAAAGAACAAAAGTGTATGCTTACCCAGAAATAGCCCTGCATTCCCCAGTTCGTACCCCACGAGTTGCGGACGAGCCAGTAGGGAACTCCCTGCGAGCTGGTGCCTAAAACGAATAAGCTAGCCAGGTAAAGCTATAGCAGATGTATTGGATCGGTGCTTCGTGGCCCCTACAAAATCTCCACCATACCGTATCCAACAATCGTCACCGCGTGCCCTCCCTCATAGTCCGGATTATTCGGGTCGCAATCCGTGGTGTACACGCCGGATTTGTAGTAGTAAAAGTTCTTGCAGACGTAGAAGGCTAAAATAGCCTTGATTAGTCAAATAGGAGCGTTTATAGCTTTACCTGCCGTCGCGGGACCAGTTGACCTGACGAAGCTTTGGATAGCCTGAACGTTTCCGGTCAAATCGACCTGGCCGATGACGGGCTTTTGGACTTTCTGAAAAGGATAGGGAATGCGAGAGGGAGAGAGAGCGAGAGAGAGCGAGAGAGAGAGACAGAATTGGATACCTTACCTCCTTAGGGCATTTTTTGGCCTTCTCAGCGGTGCATTTGAGATTACCCTCCGCGGTGATCCCTTTCTTTTGGACATAACTAAAAAAGGTGCGTTTTAAGGTATTGTAGCGTACTTTATGGCAGTGGCCGGCCATCCGCCATTGCAGCCGTCGGAGGGGGCGCAGTCGAGGAGAAAGAGAGAGAGAGGCAGAGAGTGAGAAAGAGAGAGAGCGAGAGAGAGCGAGAGAGTGACTGAGATAGACACGGAGATTCTTTCCGCACCTGTTCCGAGTATTGGACTCGATCCTTGGGAGTCGTTCGGTTGCTCTTGTAGTTCGTTTGGACCTCGATCGAGGCTACGGTGCTAAAACATATTTTTGTGCGTCTTCAATTACTATATTTAATTTGATATTATCGACAAATTTAGAAAAACTCACGCAAACGCCCAACACGAGCCACACTGGCCCTGGTCTCGCACTGGGTTTACGGTACCGGTAGTACGCCAATCCCAGGTGTCAGTGTCGTTCATCGTCTAAATATTTACTGGTTTTTGTGTTGCTATTTGATAAACTTGATCATTATTTTACTATGATAATGTAAGCATTAATATCCAATTCTAAGGTTAGCTTAATTTTAGGTTAACATGGTTAATTGGCGGTAAAATGACTAAACGCGTTATATTCCACCTGGTTATAGTCATCATAATAATAATCATTATACTCGTCATGCTGTTGTTTTTCAAAATAGGCAATGATTTCGTCAATGTCCTGCTGGAAAAATGCAAAAAATGGGTCTAGGAAGTCGACGTCGAGCAGTACGACCTCCTCTTCATAGATAGGGCCCGGAACTGACTGGAAACGGCTAGATAATACTTTAAGTTTTGTTTTCGCTATTTCGTCATAATGTATAATTGCAAAATCGTTGATAAATTTTATGTTAAAATAATCTGGACAATTCACCTGTCTCTTGGCCCGGATCGCGCCGGCGGAAGGTGCTTGAGCTGTCGGGCCGGTCGATTCATGGTTGAACGTCATCTTAAAAGTCTAGATCGTAATTTAGATGGTGATGGTGATGACGAGTAGTTTTTAGATAGTAATTTTAATAGCCATACACAAAATCAAATACGTATTTTGTAACCAAACAGCCATAAATGAGCAAAATCAGTCAACCCTACCCGCTTCATCTCCTCCACCGACCAGTCCATAAAATGGTTCATCCCGAACTCTGCCCTAAAAAAGAGCTAATTATAAAAAAACACTTTTTGTATCTAAAAATACACATAAATTTAATATATAAAATACCCATCATCCGAAGAATCCGAAAACTTCTTCAACTGCTCCAAGTTGTTGGCAAAGTTTTGCTGGCGCTGGAGACAATCGGCCGATCCGGGATCGCACGTTTTATTGAAGCTAGAGGATTTGGCTAATTTTTAGCGTAGTTGTTGCAAAATTTACCTATTTAAAAACTCCTGGAATTGCTGTAGAACATCACCGTCGAGAATCCCGTCCAAATCCGACTCGAACGCGCCGAGGGCTACGGTAACCAGCCCGAGGAATAGCAGGGCCGAGGGCCAAGTCATTTTCCTGAAATTTTACAGTACGTAAGGAATGGTCAAAATTTTCAAAGAACACTATTCGAAAATGATATAGCGCAAATCATGGAGCTTATTGCTATGAATTTCACGCTCGTTTTTATAGAAAAAGGGACCGGAAAACAAACTGTATTCTATAGCCAAGGATAAAAGACTTCACAGTCCGCCGGGATTTCATAATGCGGCCTCGCGTAGTATTTTGTAGAGCTTTTCATGATTGAACCTCTCAAATGGGAAAAATTCCGGATATTAATATCTCTTTTCAGTAAAAAATATCGTCATCAAAGCTCAGCTTAAAGAGCGTTCGCTGAAAGCATTGAAAATGCTCTAAAATATTATATACGCCTAATTTTGAAAAGCCGAGGCACCGATAACAACTTGTAGATGGTAGAATTCCGCGTGCGAACAGTTTAGAATGTTTAAATGACAAATAGATAGACTTTTCCTATATTGTGTCAATTTTTTGGTACCTTGTGGCATTCATCATCGGTGCCGCTTTGCATCAAATTATGTGGAAGAGTCAGAGGTGTTCGGCAAGTGCAAGTTCACAGTTCCACGATCGGATGGACTTTTGTAATGCCTTTTGTACCTAAAACTTAAAGCTCCAATTAAATTATTTATTAACATAAAATTTCCATTATTAATCGTTTCATATGTACTCATGATTTATGGCAAGAGTACGGTCCTGGGCCCGGTGATCTCCCACGACTCGATGGAGGAGACATCGGCACCACGTTTGATCTAAAAAGGTCAGAATTAGGACCTCAACAGCGCATTAATAAATATAAAATTAACGATAGTACAATTTACCATGAAATAGCCATTAATGCCCCAATCGGTTCCCCAAGAGTTGCGGGCTAGCCAGTAGTTGACACCAGCCGCGGTGGTACCTGAAAATTAGCGTCAAACGATTGGATCCACTCTCTCTCTCTCTCTCTCTCTCTCTCTCTCGCTCTCTCGCTCGCCCGCTTTTTTGTCACTCTCTCGCTCCTTCTTACCGTATCCAATGATCGCCACGGCATGTCCTCCTTGGAAACCGGGGCTGTTCGGTGTGCAGTTTGCGGTATACACTCCCGATGCGTATGCGTAGAAACTGTTGCAGACGTAGAAGCCTGAAAAAGGACACTTTAAGGTTACTTCAGAGTGCTAAGGTAAGACAGCACGTTTTTAGGAATACATCATGTTTTTAGGAATACTCTACCAAGTCATGATGAGAATTGCTTGACTTACATGCCGTAACTGGTCCTTGGTTTTTGATGAAAGTCACGGTTTGGCTGACATTTCCGGTGAAGATGGACACTGCGGAGACCGGCTTCTCGAGAGTCTGAAACCTGCATTAAAAGGTATGAATTTTTAAATACCAATCCAGTCATACACTCAGTGGTATCTCCAGTGGTGCCACTGACGTAGGGATAGGCGGCTCCACGGGGAGTTCCGTAATTCTTGATGTACCTGAAAAACGTGGCTTTGAAAGGGTAGTGCTCTCTATCTTTCTTTCTCTCTCTCTCTCTCTCTCTCTCTCTCTCTCTCTCTCTCGCTCTCTCTCTCGCTCTCTCTTTCTTCTCTCTCTCTCTCTCTCTCTCTCTCTCTCCTTCTCTCTCTAACTCACGTCAACGCAGCCGACGGATAACCGCCACCGCAACCCCAGTACGTCACGCTACAGTCAACGAGGTACTGTAAAAACAATTTTTCCGAATCACTTTTTTTGTACCTGCTCCGAATACGACCTCCTCAACGCGCCCGTCCGGTTGTTCTTGTAGTTCATCTGGGTCTCAAGAGCCGCTACCGAACTGTAAGGAAATTGTTGATTTTTGTAGCCACTTATTTCCAAAACTGAAGAAGCCATTCAAAAAAGCCTACGCAAAAGCCCAGCATGATCCGCAACTGCCCTGATTTCTGATCGGATTTACAGCCGTTGTTGTTCGCCAATCAAAGTTCGCCGCCGCTGCCTGGAGTTAGGGAATAATTTTCAAGTCTCTATTAATTTCTCTCTCTTTCGCTCTCTCTCTCTCCCTCTCTCTCTCTCTCTCTCTCTCTCTCTCTCTCCTCTTACCCTCTTGTTCCTCAGCTGCACCGGATCGCTCAAGTCCAGGTTGTCGGTCTGAGGCTTTGGCATGCCGTCGATCGGGAAGACCATCTAAAATTAGGATGGATATGCTTTGCACGGGCTGAGGCTTAATCCTAAGGATGTAGTACTATTCAGACTACCGTACCTTCTTCATGTCGTCGTCCGACCAGTCCATGAACTTGTTCTCCTCCACCTCGTAGCTAAAAAATAGAGAAATCGGTGCAAGGAGCAAGAAACGCACTCTCCATTCGTCGTCTCATTCAGCTCCTTCAGACGCTTCAGATTCTTGGCGTAGTTTCTCTTCCTCTGCTTGCACGCTGTGGTTCCGTCGATGCAGTTCCGCTTGAATCTGAAGATGAACAAGTGATAATTTTGGTAGGTTCTTACTTACTTGCTCTTGAATGAGTCAAATCTGTCAGTGGAGTCCTCATCCAAAATTCCGTCCGAATCGATCTTCCTCTTGCCAGATCGAGCCGCCAGTGCTAAGCCGATTAAAGCCAGGGCGAGGAGGAGGAAGAATCGGTTCATAATACCCTAAAAAATGGTTATTACCTTTTTTTGAACGAGAAACAAACGCGCCGCTTCCCCGAAGTTGGGTATACAATTACGCCATGAAAAACTGAAAATAAAAGAGGAAATCCATAATCCATATACACGCGGCTTAGCAAAATGAATTACGTTACGTACCGCGAGAAAATCAACGGAAATTAATAGGATCCATAGCCTAAAAAACACAGTGAGAAGCCTTGCCAGTCCCTATAAAACTTAAAAAAACTGTTTTAAACTTTGGCCGAGCTATACCCCCGGCCAGCGGCCGATTCAATACGACAAAATTGAGCTCAAACCCGCATGGTCTATGCCTTTTTGGGTTGAATAGAACCCAAAAGTCGTGTTCCGATACCACGAACCAATGGCCATTGATAGGCTTTTATAGCATTGGCCCCGGAAACACGAGGCCGCAAACTCCCAATCCGCCCCCATCCTAAAGCTGCCCCAATATCGCCCCCCGAATTCAAGCACCCAAAAAAAACGCTGGCGTCCCTTCGGCCCGCGCTCGTTTTTTGTGTGGATTTCTGACGATATATGCTCAATTTTGTTGGACGTGGATGTCGACCTTGGGTCGGCTCGCCCACATTGGCCAATATCCAGCTGGGGAACGCATTGGCGGGAGGGCGACCCGGATGCCGAATTCGATCCGATAATTTCTACAGGCTTTTTATAGATATGCGATTGAATGCCGATATTCCAGATACTGACGATAGGAATGCCGACAAGCCAAACTCTGGCGTTACAAATGGCGATATGGAAAATGCCGACAATCAACTGACCCTCAGGCAAAACGCGACAAGAGCAATTCCGACAGGAGAAACGCCGACACGGGAAATTGTGACAGTGAAAATGCCGACATGCAAAATAGCGACCCCAAACATGCGGACATCCAAATGAAATTAAAATGAAAGAAATTCAATTGCTAACCTTGCAAGTGTATTTGAATTCCAATTTTTTGCGTGTCGGCATTATTTCTGGTCGGCATTTTACCTATTCCCCATGAAATTTCTCAAAATTTTGTATGAAATTTATGTAGATTTGTGAAGCCATATCTGTTGACCGTCTTCAAGCCTTCCAAGCCCGCCCAATATTAAAACGATTTGAGAAACCGAAAAAATATGGATCATGATCGGCTTTTTTTTGGTTTTTGCATCGTGGCGCTGATGTCGACAAGGTTTGGATCTAAAATAACCTTCGAATCGGCAGCTGGGCCAATAGTCCACATGGCTTACGACCTCGAAAACTGCAGCCACTCAGGGGAAGCTGATCAAAGAGTTGGGGAGTGTCACGTCCCCGTGACGTTCACGGTTACCTAACCTTACAAATTCCCCAAATAACTATAACTTAATACAATATGCTGCTACGAGCAGCCCTTCTCCTTCTTGCCGGCAATCCTCCGAAGCCCGCAGAGCCGTGCTGATTGACCGTGCTTCCCGTCTCCTTCTCTATGGGCGTCTCCGCGATCCAGGGCCACAACATCGTGTTCAACTACAAGCCCTCGTCCACCGACGTTCGCATGTCCACTTTGCATGCGGCTCCTCGGCAACCGGAAGATGTCCCTGTATTCCCCCCGGTGCCCAACTATATAAGCGGCCGCCCTCTCCCGCTCTTCAAGTCGACTTCAACACCTGCGTCTTCCCGGGTTCAAGCTAGCTGTTCGCCACCGCGAGGCTTCGTCTGATTCCGGCCCTCTTCTTCGCCTTATTCGTGCTCGCCTTCATCGCCATCGCCTTTGCCCCATTTCCCCCTTGTCTTCTGTTTGATCGTTTATTGTAACAGACTACCCCACCGGGAGTCTGGAATAAACTGTATCCCCTGTCCCAGTCGTTTGCTCTCCCAGGCTATCGAGGCGCAAATTCTTGTCACAGGTGTGACAAAGTGGTGCCCCGAACCGGGATCGAACCGGTGACCTTTAGATCATGTAGAGCAAAATGACCAACCCTGGTTCACTGTAAAAGATTCCAAGGAAGACCCTTCCGATATCCGCCAATGCCCGACCTACCCCACCAAAGAGTAAATCGAGCAATACCGTTTGAAAATTGCGGGGTCGATTATTTCGGGCCAATCATGCTAAAAATGCAAAATCAAAATGAGCCCAGCGAAATCAAACGTTGGGTTGCATTATTCACTTGCATGACCACCAGACTCGTCCACTTGGAAATGGTCGAAGATCAAAGTGCAAAGACATTCTTACTCGCTCTGAAGCGTTTCTGCGCTCGTAGAGGAGTACCAAGAACCATGATCTCCGACAACGGAACCAACTTTGTTCTGGCCGAAAAGATCCTAAAGGCAACAGAACATCGTGAAGACACATTCCAAGACTTTCTCACTGAAAAAGGCATTAGATGGAAATTCATCACACCATTAGCCCCTTGGAAAGGTGGCTTTTACGAAAGAATGGTTGGATGCGTCAAAAAGACCCTCGACAAACTACAAAATCCACGAAAATTCCATCTGGATGAATTTCCTACCGTACTCCACGAGTTGGAAGCAATCGTGAACTCCAGACCATTAACCTACCCGGGTAATGAAATAGAAAATTATATTATTCGACCGATAGATTTCGTGACTCCAGGGTTACAATTGATTGAGGCCAATACCTTGGCGCACAATGTGGACGACCCAGAATTCGATCCACAGACTAATCAAAATGTACAAAAATTGGTGAAAAACTTCAACGTGCACACTAAGGAACTTGAAAAAATGTGGCAAATTTGGAAAGACGTCTATTTAGCAGAATTACGCGAAAATCAGAAGAAGCTCAATGCCCAAAATGGTCAATCTACTTCGATTGTACCAAAAGTTGGAGACATGGTTCTAATCATCGATACCAACAACAAAGGAATAAAAGCGCCCCGCGGGTCTTGGCCTAAGGGTATTATCACAGAACTGATTAAAAGTCCGGATGGCCAGGTGAGAGCGGCACTCCTACGGACCCCCAGAACTAGAATTATCCAACGAGCTATTTCACAGCTTATTCCGCTGGAAATTGCTACGCAAATCGATATACCCAAAGAAACTGTTCACGAAACTAGACCAAAAAGAAATAACCAATTTACTGGCAATTATAAGGAAAATGACCCAGATGAAGATTGGTGATAAAACATAAAAATACCCACTTTATACAAACTTATGTGCATTTATGGTGTTCCTCTCCGGCTGCGGCTTTAAGACCGTATGGTCGATTTCTCGTCCCCGGGAGGGCATCGCGCCCAAATGCGGCGCAGATGCAAAATTACAAAAAATTCTAATATAAACACTCGTCCCCCGGGAGTGTCACGTCCCCGTGACGTTCACGGTTACCTAACCTTACAAATTCCCCAAATAACTATAACTTAATACAATATGCTGCTACGAGCAGCCCTTCTCCTTCTTGCCGGCAATCCTCCGAAGCCCGCAGAGCCGTGCTGATTGACCGTGCTTCCCGTCTCCTTCTCTATGGGCGTCTCCGCGATCCAGGGCCACAACATCGTGTTCAACTACAAGCCCTCGTCCACCGACGTTCGCATGTCCACTTTGCATGCGGCTCCTCGGCAACCGGAAGATGTCCCTGTATTCCCCCGGTGCCCAACTATATAAGCGGCCGCCCTCTCCCGCTCTTCAAGTCGACTTCAACACCTGCGTCTTCCCGGGTTCAAGCTAGCTGTTCGCCACCGCGAGGCTTCGTCTGATTCCGGCCCTCTTCTTCGCCTTATTCGTGCTCGCCTTCATCGCCATCGCCTTTGCCCCATTTCCCCCCTTGTCTTCTGTTTGATCGTTTATTGTAACAGACTACCCCACCGGGAGTCTGGAATAAACTGTATCCCCTGTCCCAGTCGTTTGCTCTCCCAGGCTATCGAGGCGCAAATTCTTGTCACAGGTGTGACAGGGAGGGACCATGGTCTCTTCCGGTCTTGAGTCCATTTTTCCAAAAATATCGAATTATTGACTTGCAGCATAATTTTGGGTTAATTTTAAGGGCATCTTGCCAGTCGCGAAGTTACGTGCGTAGTTGTTATGCTTTTGTGCGCATTGCGCAGTAGCGTGCGTAAATGCGTGTAGTACGTAGTGCGTACTTCCATATTCACCACTTAATGCATGCATTATTTATTAACCACCAAAGCCTTGAAGCCTTATGAAATCTCTTGCTTAAGGGAGAATCGCGGTTTCGGGCCCGACCAGCTCCCACGTCTCGAACGAGGCGATGTTGGCGCCGCGTTTGATCTGAAAAATGGATAGAATTCACGTATTCCAGCCTGTTCTAGCTCAATAAAGCCTCTTACTTCGATAGCTAAGCAAAACAGAAACATTCCATAGCGTATCCCTTCAGCCCCCAGTCGGTGCCCCACGAGTTGCGCACCAGCCAGTAGTTGACCCCCTTGGCGTTGGTGCCTAAAAAGCGGAAAATCACATACGTTTAGCTCTACTTTTAAGGAAGATTTAAAGAACCGGAGCAGGCATAAAAGGGGGGCGTGGCTTGTAATTTTCGTTGCAAATTGCTTTAAAATCAGCTTTAACAGATTTTTAAGATACCAGGGCTGCAAAATTGTTATTTTTTTTTTGGTTTGTGAATTATCCAGCGCCTTGAAACCAAACTTCAGTAGATTCTAAAGGGCCATTGAAGGCAGAAGTGGGCGGACTTCACGTCTTCCGGACACTTTAGAGCAGCTTTAAAGGCACGTCGTGGGCAAAATTCGTTTTTTTTTCTTTCTAGTTTTGTTTTTTGCTTTTCTAATACCTTTTAAAAGGGTTTTGCTTACCGTATCCAATAATCGTGACGGCATGCCCCCCGATGTAGTCCTTGCTCTTCACGTTGCATGCAGCCGAGTAGATGCCACTTTTGTACTGGTGGAAGCTCTTGCAGAGGAAGAAGCCTAAAACGGTTAGTGGCTCGAAGTATACCTTAACAAAGTATCATAACCAATTCTGACTGCAAATTCGCTTAAAAGCTAGCAAAGTGAGCCGACTTACAAGCCGTAACCGGTCCCTTGGTCCTGACG